GGAACCGCCCCCGCAGGCCGCGCGGAGCCCTGCGGCGGGAGTTTTGAACGCGGGGCGGGCGGGACCTGCTGCCCGCGGGGGGTTCTCGTCCCAAACCGAGCCCAGCCCTTCCCCTTAAAAATAAGTAGCTATTCCGCATCAAGATACCTCGGCAGCATTTGGATCAAGCTGTTGCGTGTGTACTTTAAACATTGTTTTTAATAAGTTAGGCTTTCGGGACTAAATACGGCTGGTTTAGAATGAACTTCACACTCTTCTCCTGGAGTAAGGGCACATGATAGTGTGATCATCTTTAGTTTCGCCTAGAAGTCCTCACTTCCTGTAAGCGGCAACTTCTAATTAGATGCTGACAAAAGAGGGCCTTGATTGTCCTGGATGAATAGTCTGCAGCACTGGCAGTAGCTGGTACTAGGTGCTTACAAGGTAAATAAAACCTGATACAGTTCCTAGCCAGTTGTGCTGTACAAAGGAGTAAAATCTCTTCCTAAGCCTTGTTAATTACGTTACTTAACCCTCCAATACCTGCACTGATGTTATACATCATAAGGAAGAATCAATTAATGAGGAAAGAGAGATGCAATTCTGAATCAGCCACGTGCTGGTTGGTTGTTTTTTTTTTCCTCTGTTTAAGTTCTATTTCTGTGTCAAGATACCATAGTGTGGAGCTTTGTATTTTGCAGAGAGTACTATTAAAGTAAATGCAATATGTTACAGGCTAGTGCTTTTCCATAGAAAACCAGGGCATTGTTCATAAAGAAAAAAAAAAAGCTAAATATACTGTAAGCTTTTAATAAGGTATAGTTTTGAAGCAACGGTTTCATTTTAAAGAAGACATAGTCTTAGTTTTTTGTAATGGTGATTTTTTTTTTTTTCTGTTTGTTAAAAAAAAATTAAAATCTGTCTTTTAAGAATAGTTCTAGACGTGTATTTATATGTGTGTTTTTTAATTAAAAAGTGAAAGTGAAAAGCTGGCCCAGGAAGAGCTAATGTGTGCTAATTTGTAGTTTCAAATTTTAGACACTAGTGAGGGAGCAAGTTAGAAGAAACTGAACTGTAATTTTTGGAGCATTAATAAGCTAAACACTATACTTACATTATTTATTTTTTTTGCCTGTAATTCCATTTTGCAATGTGTATGAAATCCAAGCAGGAATATCTTTGATCAGAATATGATCTGATCATGCTGTCACAATTTTACATGCTTCTCAGGTTACACAAGTTACATGTGAAGTAATTGGGGCATGCGGTTAGTTGGTGTGTGTAGTGCTTACACAATACGTTTTCTTACTGGATTAACTACCTTCCATGGTTTGTATAATTTAAGTTTTGAGGTGTCTATGTGGAAGGTGGGAATTACTCTGGGGAGGTGGGTCAATAATCAAGGCATGCACTGCATTACAGGCGTATACGGGCATCATCCCAGTGCTGAAGCCATTCTGACAGGCTTGGAGAAAATGCTGAACACTGTTCACTGGGCCCTGTCCTCTGTATAAAATTTTAAAATTAACCTGACTATGAAAGTAGAGGGATTCCTTCAGTACTAGCTGACTGGAGAGAGCTGGTGGGATGGTCTGGTTTATGAAGAATGGGGTGGGCATCAATAAATTTCCCCAGTCCTTGTTATTTTAGGTGTGTGTCCAAAGAATAAATTTTAGGCTACACAAAACTGTTGACAGGCAAGAGCAGAAGACCTTTAACTGTAATGATAAATAATGCTTGTTTGTTTTTGTTTTGCTGTAGATTTGGAATGGAAAATTATTTATGTGGGTTCAGCTGAAAGTGAAGAGTACGATCAAGTGTTAGACTCTGTTTTAGTAGGACCTGTTCCTGCAGGCAGACACATGTTTGTATTTCAGGTAAGTTTAATTTAACTGTTTCTGAGAGTTGTGTTAATTTGTTTAAAGATGACTATATCAAACTAAGAGGCACTTTAAAAATAATGGTAAGCTAGAAAAATATTTCAGTCAGCTCTTAAGGTATGCTAAATCTTCCTTAAAGACTGTTCGTGAGCTGATAATTTTGCCCTGATATTTCCATGGTAATACTTTCACTTGTGGTATCAATACTTAGATATACTGGTACAAGCAGTGCTTCTGTAGCTACTGGTAATTTTTGAGTCTGGTTTGTAACTATATTCTAGATCACTGAGTAATCCAGAGTGCCGGTTACCAAATCAAAACTATGATTTGGCTCACTTTTTTCCTCTATTTATCAAATACTAGTAGTATTTGTCTTGCAAACTGAGAGGAAAATCCATTGGCAGAAGATTCACACTGAAACTCTCCATGTAGCTTATTGTGTAAGAATGATGCCACTTTCCCAAATTCTATAAATTCGTGTAACTATTTAATGGCAAATACATGCTAGAGCATGAGCATTAGGAAAAAAAAATGCTAACAAATACACTTAATTTTCATGGTTAGTGTAACTGTTTAAAATTATATAAATGTTTTTTATTTTAAAAGAATACTGACATTTTTTATTAATCCTTTAAGTTCCAAGAAACTTTTTTTTTAGCTCCAGGACAGGCTTTAAAGTATTAGGCTAGAGAGAGGTTACATTTATTAATCACATATGTGCAAATTGGTCTTGAAACATTTGTTTGGTTTTGGAGCTGGGCCTAATTTTTTCCACACTACAAATAAAGTAGATGTGTAACAAACACATCAGTTATTAACAGTTCTTCCATTATCAAGCAGTTAATAGCTTAAGGCTTTAATTGCTCAGAAATAGGTGATACTCTGTTGCCCTCAGAGGGGCTACCTTCTAGAGCTATATCCAGAGAAATAAGCTGGTATTTACATTTCTAATTTCAAAGATGCAGTGTCATCAATTAAGGTACAAAGATCAGTTGTTGATGGTGATGGGAAGGAACAGGAGCCAGGTGCTAAAAAGACACATTTTGGCTGTATAATTAGAAAGGCCTTGAAAATTAAATTCACTGGTCTTACGGTTTCTGTAGGATGGATTCATTGACTGTATCCAGGTCATGACTGCCACTAGAGATAAATTAGGAGCAGACATGAAGATATTTTGCTTAAATTGCAATAGGTCCTCTTAAGGGAGTACTCACTCTGTGTTACAATAAGGTATCCCTTTTCTTTCTTACGGAAGTAAGACTGTTGATCTAAATACATTCTGACTTCAAAAATGCTGAATTTCAGGTGAGGTTAGGGTTTAACTAGTGTGTATGCACATAATGCAGTAGTAGGCCTTTGCTGATGACCAAAGCTATCTTGCTTACCAAACTGAAGCAGCCTGGGAGATGCAGAGAAATACCAGGGGAAGGCCAGAGTGGGGAAAAGCACAGAACTGCAGGAGACACATAAAGAGGTTGTGTTCACTAGGGACAGCACAAGGAAAGCGCCTTTGCAGAAGTGTATAACATTTTCAGCTAATAATATGCTGTACATTTTTCTAAATAGGAAAATGGCTGAAACAGCAAGTAAAATGGAGTATCATACAGATGAAATACCAAGAATGATAAAACTACCTTTGTTGAAAAGAAGCAGTGTATCAGGTTGGGAAGTTAGCCTTACGTACAGAAAGATGGAACACTATTGTGCTTTTCAGACTTAGACAATCAGCTTTTAATGTGGCTTGGTTTGGGTTTGTTTTTCTTAAAATACTGAAACCTTTTTCTTTTTTTTTTTAAGACCTTTAGCTTGGCCTTTGTGGTTCTAAATACCAAGATACTGGTACTGAAACCTGATTCATCCTCTCTATGTGCTTGGGAATTTGTAATAAATAAATTCACATAAGCTTCTTTTTGAGAATATAAGCACATAAATAATTTACTAACTTGAAGAGGAGATATGACTGTAGGTACCTATTCTGCAATAATAGCTTACGTAAATTAATGTATCACGTGGAAAAGCAAGATAACATACACATTGAATGATTTCACAAAATTCTTAATTTCTAGCAGAAGGATGGAATATTAGACAGTGATTTTTTTTTTAATGCAAAAGTTCACCTGCTGCCTCTCTCTGCTAAAATATGTTCTTTTTGCTTCCACCTATGTATGATGATTTGTTTCCCAGGCAATGAAGAGGTTTGATATCCAAGGCAGGAGGTTCAAAATTGAGAAAACAGTTTTTAAGTGTTCAGTGTCTTCTACCCTCACCAAAACAATGCTTGAGAGCTAAGTAGGAATAAACCAGAGTATTTCCTTGGGTTCGTAGCAGTATCATAGGATATTACAGGACACAAAATGACAATGGAAACCTGAAACTAAAACCTCACATTAGGGTGAGAGTTGAGTTTCAGACAGGTTAAATGGAAGTGTCCTTTTGCAATATATTAGTCTATAACTCCCACCATGGAATGTAAAGTAATCACATGGTTCTATGCACTGTTAGAACAAGACTACTGAATTAAAGTAGTAATTTCATCTGCATTGGAAGTTCGTACAGTGCAAACTGTAAAGCCATTTGGTCATTTTCTGTTTCCTTCAGGGCTGGAGGAAGTACCCCCTGGAGTACCTGAGGGCTCTGATGCATCTAATTCTACTTCAAAGTGCCTACAGCTTCTTGTAAAAAGCTGGACTGTTATGAAGGCTCAGAATTGAAGTAGCATAAAGCAGAAGCCAATGATGCATGATAACTAGCTCCCAAATTTCAGAGTGCTGGAGCATATAAATACTACAGAAAAATAGGGACGAGGGGGGAAAGCAGGAATTAATCCCACTTGGTCTTTTACCTTTAGGCAAGATTTGTTACACCTAACCATTCTAACATACATTGTTAATACCAATGTGTACAACATATGTATTCATTGTTGACTTCAGAACTTCATGTAAAATTGTATATACCAAACTGCTTTATTTATGCTTAGATTACTGTTACTTTAAATCCTACAGCAGAACAAGGCATCATATTTTATAAAAAAATGTCTAGTTAGGAAGCATTCTAAGGGACTGATGTGAACCACATTTTACAAAGCAAGTATTATTGATTATTAATGACCGCAAAGCCATGGTAATTAAGGAGGTTCAGAAAAATCTTAAGAGTTGTCTATTAATTAGGAATGCATCCTGACTAAAAATGTCAGATGTCTTAGAGCAATAATGCATTTGACTGCATATATTTTAACAGACGTAGGTAAACGGAAAGAGGCAAGAGATAGAGTAGTTTATTGCTTTCCTAGAAATTTGTGGGACAGCTCAACCCTCACTAGTCTGTCTGCTCTTCTTACTGACGTATAAATAGCAGTCTGTATTTTTAAGTTTAGTCGTGTTAAAAACAGACATACAGACCAATTCAACCTCAGAGGTACAAAGAAGAAAAAGATCTTACTCTAGTAAGTTACTAAGATGGGCTGGAGAACAGTGGCACTGCAGAACTAAAGGGATGTTTGTACATTTGCTTGAGCAACAGTTCAGCTGATCATACATCTAAAAACAGTTTTGGATCAAAGCTGTCTAATCACCCATGAGAAATGTCAGCACACAATATTGCCGTATTTGCAGTAATTCTGTCTCTAGCAGATAGTGTCCTAAATTCTGGGTTGATACTGTTGCAAAAGCAAGAATATTTGCTGTTCACCTTGAATAATTTTAAATAGTCACTACTCTATTGAGAGATACTAAAGATTTCTCTGCTAGATAAGCATGTGATATTAACTTTATTTTAATCCATCTTTTCGTTTCACACTTAGGCTGATGCACCTAACCCAGGGCTTATTCCAGATGCAGATGCAGTAGGTGTAACAGTTGTGCTAATTACATGTACCTATCGAGGTCAAGAATTTATTAGAGTCGGCTACTATGTAAACAATGAATATACTGAAACAGAACTGAGAGAGAATCCACCAGTAAAGCCAGATTTTTCTAAGGTAAGGCATGTTTTGTTCTACTCATATATCAAAGGTATACTCAAACTAAGAGGTTTTTAAGAAACAGAACCAAATCCCAACGGATTCCACAAAGTGCATGGAACGAGGCATCAAATATCTGGGGGGACAAACTGAAGTGCCATGTAGTTGCCATAAATTTGGAGAATGTTTAGAAACCTCCAGTGGTTTCCACCTTAGCTGGACTTAGTGTTGTTATTTAGACTGACCGTGTGACGTAAACTGTTGGGTTTCCTCTAACTGCACCACTGTTTACATAGTGGCTCTCTTCTTCAGAAAAACAGAGTAATGCCTTTTCTAGCACAGCCAGCCTAGAACAAAGGTTAAAGTATTAACACAGTTGTTATCCAGCTGTTCTAGTGTTAGAGCTGCAGTTTCTGTAGAACAGTGATAAATAAACTGTAGAACAAATTTATATGTATATATATATAACAAGGTGTGTAACCTGGTATGAGCAGGTTTGGATGATTAATAATTGGACAAATTGACCAAGGAAGTATATAGATTAAGTTTAAAAATATACATATTCATGATAAAAGTTAAGCTAGGACTAGAATTAAAAGATAATGTGAAATAGAATTATTTGGAACCTGATACCTTGAGGAGAAGTATCAATTAAATATAAAAAACTAGTCAAAATCCTGTGAAATACTGTACCTAGGCATTTTCTGAACAAACCAGCAAGGTTCTATACAGCATCTGGATTTTTTTTCATGGAAGGTTTTGTGGATCTGGGTTTGCTCTTTAAGAAAATTGATGTCTGTGTCTACACACATTCCAAAGTTGTTTGACTGAGGAATAACACAATTTTCACCAGTTTGCATGAGTTATGACTGAATATATGAAGAAATGAATTGGATAATGCATGTATTGTAACTAGTAGTACAGAGATAATCCTCATCGTCCCTAAAACTGATACTCAAATGTAAATAAACTCAACTGATAAGTCAATTTTTTTTAAAAGTTGCTGATGATTTTCTATGCTTAATTTTCAGCAAGCAGATTCTCAAAATATTTTCAAAGTTAAATTGCAGTTATTTTTGAGAATTCTTAAATTTATAATATGTTACTTTTTCCTTTCATTTAAATCATATACTTATTTTTTATTTTGGGTGTGAAAGCCACAATGTTGACTTCCTTTAAGCACTTTAATTTAGGAATGCCTAGAAATACTTGTCTTATTTCTCTGCTTATGTAAAAAGCTACCTCTGCTTCTATGAAAAAGAACAGCAAAAGCTATCATGTATTTGTCTAATATGACTTTGTGACAGAAATGAAACATACAAGTAGAATGTTCTTAAACTGATTAATTAAGTTTAAATAAAAAGCAATGGTCTTACTAGTTTATTCATAAAGGCCTTGAGAAACATGTAATGAGTTCAATTCCCTGGAAAATAAAATCTGCATTAGTACCAAAGCAGACTTTTCCTGTGATCAGGCCTAAGATTTGTAATGAGTGGTCAATGGCAATAAGTTGTCATCCTCCAGTTAACTACATATGATCTTGAAAATAGTGAAAGATTAACAGAAAGTGAGCATTTTCTCTTTTTACTGCATACATTAACAAGTACAATGTGTTTTCAAAGGAAAATGAAGGCCAGCCATGAGAACAAAATATATGACAAATGTCTAGGCATGTCCTCTGCCATAATATTGATATCCTTCAAATCCAAGTAATGTTTTTACTTTTAAACTTGATTAGACAAATTGAAATTTGATTAGAAAAATCAGTGTAAAGTATGGTAATTTAAGGAAAGTCGATGCTCTTAAATGAAGACAGAGATAGGAATTGATACAATTATTGAAAACTCCAAAAAGTTGATGCAAAACTTCATGAACTACTGTTGTTTACAAAATCTTTGTGGGGGTAGAAATTTGCTTTACTAAAAGCTAGCAAAAATAACAAACACTTGCACTTGCAGAGATTTTTATACAGCCTTGAACTCGCAGAACAGTTAAAAATACCCTCTCAAGAAGGCCATTATTTTGCTGAGTAGGATATTAGAGTAAGTGAACAAGAGGTGTGTTTCTGTAAGCATGTTTCTGATCTACAGATAATACCTATAGATTGGCATTTATGAGTTACCTTTATGAGTTTTTAAACAAATGCTTTTACACATACAGGACTACAGGGAATAAAGGGAAAAAAAAATGTATGCACGTGAACTCCACTTTGAGATATACACATTATGTAATCCATATATTCTCTTCTCTCCTAGCTTCAAAGGAATATTTTGGCATCTAATCCCAGAGTCACAAGATTCCACATTAACTGGGAGGACAACACTGAAAAACTGGAAGATGCAGAGAGCAGTAACCCAAATCTACAGTCACTGCTTTCTACAGATGCATTACCTTCAGCATCAAAGGGGTGGTCGACATCAGAAAATTCACTAAATGTTATGTTAGAATCTCATATGGACTGCATGTGACTAACCACCATTATTTTGGTACTGTACATGTGTTAAACTGTAAAAACAACCAGAACTATTTCTCTCAAGTTCCGTAAGTACATAGTTGAGAAGCAATGTGAAGAACTTGTTTTAAAACATCCTGTAGAAAGTTTATAAAAAACCCCAAAAAACAACCAAACAGTATTTGAGCAAATTGTGGAATATAAATACAGCTATTTTTAAGTAATTGCCTTTTTTCTCTAATGTGTTCTTCTATGTGGTCTAAACCAAACCTGATTAAAGTATGCATATTCTCCCCCTTCCCCCTTTACTTTGTAAGCACTATTAAAAGCTGTAAAACCGAAAGTTAAAATATTCAGGCAAAATGAAGGAATAATGCCATGTCCTCATCTCTGATATCCAGATTGCCAAATATGAAGTGCCCTTTAATAGCAGCTTAAGAACAAAACTGTCATTAGATGAAGTGCAAAGGAAATACAATCTCTTAAAGAAAAAAAAGTCCCAAAATGTCATCTTGCTGTGAAAGCAGACAGCACAGTATAATTTTAGGTGCAAGCTTCTTTTCCTTTCAAGGCACATACTTGTTACTTAAAGCATGTAATTTGAGATTTACCATCTGCTATCTTGGATTTTAGGACTTTTTTTTTTTTTCCAAATTTCTTCTACTGTTCAGTAGTTTGTTAAGGACAATGTTTTGTGTGGATTTGGGTGGGTTATCTCAAGAAAGAACCCTTTTTTGGCTACTGTAATAGCACACACAATTGGTTGGAAGGATTCAAGCAATTACTAGAAAATGTAAGCTTCAAAAGGAATAGCATGGGTATCCAAAAAGTGCTCTTCTGCAAGATTATTATGTACAACTGCTCATTGGTATGTTAATTTTCAGGTATACTTCATTCTTACAGTCTTTTTAAGTAGTAATAAGGAGTTTAGATGCTTTCTTTGATGGTGTAGAAGCATCTGGAATTTAAAACTTTTCTGCTTTCTCTCTACCCTTTAAGGCAAGGTATAAATCAAGATTCAAACCCTGTTGTGGCAGGCATGACACACTTAAGAATATATTGCCTGCCCTGAAGCTCTTGCACTGAGACATCCCTATTACCTGAGGCATTCTCAGAAGATAAAAAGAACTAAGCAGTACATTGTAAAGACTTAAAACATTATCATGACACTAACAATTTAGTTATTCCTTCCAATCATCATTAGCCTTGTACATTTACTGTGACTATATGTGCATTTAAAATTGTAATCTGTCATGTCAGATTACAGGAATAAAGTTCTGCTAGTTACTAGTAACTGCCCAAACTGTGAACCCTTCTAGGTTCCAGGCCCTTAAAAAAGGGTAGACTTCATGTTGACTGACAGTATAGCTCTGAATAAAAATAGAATGCTTTTTCTTCTCTTCCTGCATTCTCTAATAAGGATGAAGATGTCCCAAGCAGTTAGCACTTATGTCTTTCCACACCATTAGTGAAATTGCCTTCATTTCTAACATGTATATCTTTAAAATCAGAAATTAATGACCTGAACTGAGTGTACATGCACACATTTGTTTCTTCTGTGGAAACTCAGCACTACATACAGTAGCTGAATGAATTAATGAAATCCATCAATATTTGGAACCCTAATTCTAATGTATGCTCTTAAAAATCTGTGTATTTGTTTAAAATTATTATTAACAGTTTAAAAATATTAATGCTCTGATAGTGGTATGACTTAACACAATGAACTGGTTCCCCAAATAAGCAGTTGCTTCACCTGAGGGCTGAAATTATGTGAACTATTAGGAAATATCTTTTTGATTTTCAGTTATATTACAACTTTAAGGTATACAGTGATATTTCAAGATTCTTCATGTACTTTGTTTTATAAATCTATTTCAGATATCTCTTGAATGTAAGCATGTACATAACTTAGTCATCTGCTGAAAGAATGGTAGGCTCATGAAGTCTCCTAAGGCCTCCATAATAGTATTTCAAACCCACCTACTGAAGATTCATATGAAAACACAACCAAGTAGAAGCTGGAACCAGAATCCATAAGTAGCACAAAAGCCTATTCAAAGCATATGTCACAAAGCAGTGGACACAAATGGCATTACTGCTATTGCAGAATCAATTACAAACTACAGTCAGCAAAACCATGTCAACTGCTCAGCAAGCCAGTTTATTTAGATTAATTGGAAAGTGAAGATTGTTTTTCTGGTTAGTAGGAAAAAGTCCACTGTGCACATGAACTCGGGTGTAACTAACTTCGAGCTAGCTTGGGTAGCATTATGCTGCAGTAGAATTTGGCACCACCTTACGTGATACACGAACACATCCTAGGTGTAGCTGACCCACCAATTGCAGGAAAAAATAAGCATACTGTGCCTGGTGAAAATTGGAGAAGAAAAAACATTTCTCATGAAAATACCTTGTGATCTGTGCAAGAGAAATGCTATGCTTTTTGAGAGACTGGATGCCTCTCGTGTCTTCTAAAACTTTGACTAGATCTTAGCAGTCCATGCACACTGTCCTGAATATCACATTTCTTGGCAAAATTACATTCCAGAGAGACAGAATTTGAGAAACCAAACTTAGGTCTGAATATGAGGCAACCTGACAGCGCACAGAGGTATTAAACGATTCAGTGTATATAAGGCATCTCTGTAAAGACCTGTCTCCAATCTCTGAGAGTTTTAAGACAGCAGGGCTGTACACATGACACACAGCCAGTGCAGACAGCACAGCATTACAGTTTTAAGGTTGGAGATGGGCTCACCTTCCCACAAACCTCTACTTGGACAGACCACTAAAATGCAAGGGAACGATACAGATTCTATTGACGGGACTGGTGATGCACCTCACTGTAAACTTTTAACCTCAGCTAGAAAGACTCAATTCCATAAGAAGGTTGTCATAACATATAGCAGAGAGGTTATTCATGTACAAATAAGTAAATGGATCAGACAAGTTATCATTACAGATGAGGATGATGGGTGAGGTTTTAGGTGTAGCTTGAGAAAAACTTGTCATACAGTCATTGTGATTTATTCATGCATCAAATTCAGTCTGAATTAGTGTGACAAAGGAGGCAAAAATGCTCCAGTTCCATCATAATGGAAGCTTGTGAAATTTAACCTCTCCAGTGGTTCTACAAACCTCCACTGAAAAAGCCAACCTTTACTACCAATCTTCAAGACTGCAGCAATTGCTACAATAAGTACAGTAACTTAGTTTATAGCTCGCCAGACATTCTGTATCTTTGAGATGCAAGCGACAAAGTCACAGACAAATCTGATGATCTGACTGTCCATTATTTTCTTCGTAGGGTTTAAACCACTGATTTTCTGGAAGTCAGCTCAGACTGGAGGCTAGCTACTTACAGCTAGACAAAGATTGTCTACTGCTATCTGAAAATGGTGCCGGGGAAGAAAAATGAAAAAATACACAAAACAACCCAAAACACCTTATGCATGTACACTCATGCCAAATCCTCCTTTACCAGATACAGCAGAAGAGCAAAGTTAACTCAATCTTGTGGCTACTGTCTGGGTAGCTGCAAGAGACCCTTCACATAATTAACTATCCTACTCCTTTTTCATCACACAGCTGTCTCCAAGCTTGCAGATTTTCTTCTTTTTTAGAAAGTGAGAGAAGTTTGGTCTGAAGATGATAAGTTAATTGTTCTGTTGTTGATAGCTGGAGGGCTCTGCTCAGTGCCAACAGGGAAGATGAATCAAAACTGAAAGCAACCTACAAGGGCTGGCAGTATGTGTGGGACTACTCATGTTAGGACTTCCCATTTGTATTTATGTTTTCAGTCCAAGTTCTGCTTTGTAAGAGCTGGTCTTGTAGTGTATGATATGGGACAGGTGGAGGGATTTTTGCCTGATTCTTGGTCTAGGCAATGGAATAAGAGCCAGCTGGAGTCACTAGGGAAGTTTGTTAAAGGCAATTGGCATGAGGGATGTGCCTGGCCTTCCTGCAGATAGAGAAAATCAGAGGAAGCAGGTGTGTGTGCTGCAAAAGGGCTGTATCGGATGGAAGAGACAACAGCTACGTGTTAACAAGCAGTGTTAAGAACCGGCTGAAACGTCAGGAACCTTTCAGGAGTTCTTGGGTCACCTTCCAAAATACCCCTGGAGGTCTATCAAAATAAGGGGGTCCTCCAGTTTGTCCTATCCCCTAGAAAGGTGTGGCAGACCTACATTGATAAACTGGGAAGAAGCAGGGGCTTTATGGTGTGGTAAAGGGAATCCTTTACTTCCATTCAAAAATCAACTGCATGAAATGCCTGTCATTTCAATAGCATCATGAAAAAGTCTGATGAAGGCCTGCCAGGATATATTATGACAGAAGTGCATAAGACCTGAAACCTCCAGCCAACATGACGAAGATTTTGCTCCTGCAGTATTTCCTGTCCATTCTAACTACAGGTCTTTGGATATCAATGTATGAACAGGTCAACATTGCTGAAGACAGGAATCTTCTTGGCTAAATAAGGTAGTCAAGGTAAGCTCTGTCTCAGGATAAAGCCATCTTGAAACAGGATTAGTGAGAGGAAATTAAGGGGATTTAATTATCTGGAAGATGAGACTTTGTTATACATGTGGCATATCTCTGACAAGGTTTGATCAAAACTTCAAGATTCATTCCTTTCAAGAAGTCCAGCAGACTTCCTACAGAGTTAAAGCCTTTCCAACTTGAGGTCCAGCTGTTTAAGGAAAAGCAAATTAAATCATGGCAAATGATTTAAAAATGATTTTAAATGATGAAAAAAAGCAAATTTAATCATTAAATCAGGAAAATACTTTCAAGCTATGTGCTGGTAGAAAATATTTAAAATTCATATACAATTATGAATATTCAGGAAAGCAATGAAAAATCCTGTGGTAAAATGAAGATCCAAAAAGAGTGACCTAAAGGTTGCCTCTTTCTTAATAACCTGATCAGGCCAGGGTATCAATCCACAGTAGCAAACTGTTAGCATGTTCCCTGGCATTGCCTTGGCCTGTGTCAACTAGGGAATACCCAGGAACAGTCTAGGGATCTACAAGCAGGGAAAAATATCTCCAGTTTCAGTGTCTTGCATACCTCAGGATACTGGCACCACATAATCTATTCATAACCATAACTGGAGGGCTCATGTCAGCCACTTTTCATTCAGACTCAGAAGAGAGACAACTGTTAGCATCCGAAGCCTGCCTAGCAGGCAGAGGCCTACTATGGAAAAGAAAAATGG